CATACGTTAACTTACCGGGTCGTAGCTCATATAGTTCCTTGTAGTGTAGATAAATAAGATACTATGGTTCACTTCTCTATGAAGCCGACTACCGAGGGAGGCATTAGACGCATGTAGCTTGGATGAGGGTTTCGCTTCGGGTAGACCCATTACACAAAGTAGTTGACATAGAATCGGTCATGTATGTAAATAGTTAAGATTTGTAATCGAATCGGTAATAATAACATAATAATATCATAGTAGTATTATAATTTCTTTAAATTATCCACTTGTATATTAACATGATTAGAAGTTTAGAAAACATGTAAATGAAATAAATTAAAATAAAATATCATTATAAACAAAGGTGACATAAATGCAAAAAATTTATAGCAAAGTTGAAGTAAGAAATAGGACTCGAACATCATTAAAAGATTTTTGCCATGTAAATATTCTTACATATGTTACAATAAGATCGTAGTGCTTTGTTAGCTTACATTCATTGCACTTCAAATATGCTAATGACGATAATATTCTCAACTTATTAGGTCCTAGGTTACGGATGTTACAACTAAGACCACTTGACATACCTAAATGGAAATGGAAGCATATCACTATAAACTTCATACTTGAACTACTTCAATCTAATAAGGGAGCGAGATAGCATATGGGTCATTATTGATAGATCAATCGATTCAGCTTTCTTTCCTATTATGAAGTCCATGCATTCCATACAACGAGTATGCGTAACTATAGCTAAAGGAGATTATGAGATTACATGCTATCCCAGTCTTGATTTTTTAGATCGAGACCCATAGTTCACATCATGATTCTAGAAGAGTTTGCACCAAGTGATGGGATTCAATTTAAATTTCAGCATAGCATTTCACCCTTAGACCGATGGACAAATAGAGAGGGTGAATCAAATTTTAGAGGATGTGCTATGAGCCTACATTCTAGGCTAGTGTGCTTGATGGAAAAGATATCTACCACTAGTATAATTTGCTTACAATAATAACTACTAGGCTAGTATTTATATGGCACCATATGAAGCCTTATATGGACAAAGGTGCCGATCATCTATACACTAGAATGATGTTGGTAACTGGAAGCTATTAGGATAAAAAATAGTTCAAAAAATAGCAAAAGTGATTAAGTAGATTCAAATAGGAATGATGATAGCTCAAAGAAGGCAAAAGAGTTATGCTGATGTTCGAAGGTAAGACTTGGAATTCGATGTTGGGGATAAGGTGTTCCTATGAGTAGCATTAATGAAAGGGGCTATGAGGTTCGTGAAGAAATAAAAATTAGTCCTCAATACATTAGGTTATTTGAAGTATTGGAGAAGATTGGAGATCAAGCATACAGAGTTAACTCTATCCACATCCTCTCTTTAGTATATAATGTCTTTAATGTATCAATGTAATGAAAATACATAGAGGATCTAAGCCATATTTTAAGAGATGAATAACTAGACCTCCAATCCGATCTAAGCTATCAAGAATGACCTATTCAAATTGTAGATTAAGAGAAAAAACAATTAAGGAATAAATAAATTCATATAGTAAAAGCGTTATAAAGAAACTATAACATAGAGGAAGCAACACGGGAAAGAGAAGAAGAGATGAAGGTGAAATATCCTAAATTGTTTAATTAGAGGAATTTTATGAATGGAATTTTCTTAAGGAGGGGGATGCAATATAAGTGACTAAAAATCCTACTAGAATGCGAATGTATTGTATAGATATTATGTTTAATTAATAAAAAATATATCAATTAAATGTGTGAATAAAATTTAAATGTTAATTAAAAAAGGAAGAAACACAATTATCATTGAAAGAAAGTATCAATATAATGAGGAAATATTGAATTAGAAATTAGCATAATTAGTTATTATGATTATGCTTTAACATCGAGGCTTAATTGAAAAGATTAAAAGTTTAGGTCCTTGATTCAAATGATTAAGAAACTCTATGGACTTAAATTATCCTCGAAAGATGCCTATGATGAAGATGAAGTTAATGAAAATTATGAAGTTACGGACTGAAATTGTAGGGTCAAATTACAAAGATTGTAAGTTTAGAGACTAAAGTATAAAATATTAATCTTGTAGGGAATTATTAATTGAACTTAAGAGAAAATTTTAGCTAGATAAATCTGGAAATTTCAAAGAAAAAGCAAGGGGGAAAGTCGGTAAGTGGAAAGAAAGAAGGAAAAATATCTAGTTTAAAAGAGAAAAAAAAGTTGACAAAGAAAAAGAGAAATGAAAGAGTAATTAATGAATGACCTAGGGGTTAATCAAGTGTGAAACACTTCACTTAATCTTAAGAAACAACCCTAGTTATAAATATGGAGGATGAAGAAGAAAAGGTTACACAAATAGACCAACCAAGTAACCCTAAAATAACCACCACTCTAATTCATCTTAGTGAGTTTCGAAACACTTAAAATAAAACTCCAAACCAACTTAGAGGATCAAGCAAAGAGAGGAAGTAATTATTTATCTTGATCAAAACACTTAGAGGAGAGGATGAGAAAGGAACTAAGGAAGAAAAGAGAAAGAAGAAAAGAGAAAGAGAGGCCAAGCTCTAAGTTAGGTAATCGTAATTCCTTATCTACACCATAAAAAATTAATGATTTAGATGTGTGATTGGTGTTAGTTTAAAGTTTATTAGGTTGAAGTCTAATGGATGTGTTTCGATAATTTTATTAGAATGAATAGATGATGCATATATGTTGATGATATGAAAATTTTGATGTTAGCATGATTCAATTGAATGAAATCATGCAATTTAATGTTATCCTTATTCCAAGAACAAGGTGGATGGACAAACTTAAGCATGTATCAATTGGTATTTGGATTACCTAATGCTTACTTAATGTTTGATGAAATGTCTCAAAGACATTTAAGAAGTTAAATTGGTGGAATTAAAAATTGGTCACCTTTTAATAATTTTGGCCAAGTAAGAGGTTTTGTTTGACTAGTAGAGTGATTGTACTTGATGCTAAAATGATGAGGATTATGTTAGATAAAAAGGTGAATGTGAGGTTTAGAGGTGTAATAGTATGAAAATGATCATGTTTATGTGAGGAATGATTATTCATGATGCTTTCCATATTCAACCTTGCTATGATGTTATCCATGTTCATTATTTTTTCAAGGTGTATGTGTGTATTGTATGCATACTTGATTGATTGAAACATTTATTTGTTGTGTTACGTATGTTACTTTTTCTTAAGGATTTAATGGCATACATGTTGAGGTTCCTATTTATGGCATTGCATTATATTTAAATGCATAAGCACATCATAACCGTGAAAGAGATTTTATAATCATGATTTTGATGAAAGAAAAAAAAATGAAAGGTTGTGAAAGGAAATGGCTTGGCACCTTTTTGAGGATTATGGGAGAGAAATGATCACCCTCTTTTGAGAAAAATGGGTATGCTTTGTGTGTTAAGGTAATGGGAAGGTACCTAGTGCCTTTGTGATGTTTCATAATTGCATGTTTTTATAAATAGTCAATTATATACACAATTGGCTAGGTGTGCTCGAAGAGGAAAATGAATTTCAAAGGTATGAAAATGTTTTCATAAAAGTTGCATTATGTGTATCACATGCTTTACATGGGTTACACTTACCGAGCGTTGCATTTCTCACCTTTGTTTCTTGTGGTGTAAGAGAGAAGAAAGATGAATAAAGATGATCAATGGTAAGGCATGTGAAGGACTTGCCCCTTTGTGTGCTTAGGGTGAAAGAGTATGAGATCTTACTTTGGCTAAACTTGATTTTTGCTTACATGTATAGTGAGTTAAGTAATGTTTTGGCATGATAGTTAAGCAAATTTTGTTTTATAATAATGAATGGTAAATTGTATTTTAAGTTTAATATCATGTTAAAGCTTGTTAGCTATTGGACTTGGCCAATTGATGTGGTTAAAATGATACAATTGATTGGGTTATGAAAATGAATGAAATTGACTTATAATGTAAGTAAAACTTAGATGACCACTTGATTTGATAAGTAATGAATTAAGGAATGAGAGTAAGGAGATTAAAAAGGGATAGCCTAAATAAATTAGCAACCAAAGTTCCCTAAATCTTAAAATGTTTTAAATGGACAAATTCATAGAAAAAGTGTAAATGAAATTAGTAAAGGCTTTATGGAATCTAAGGACGAGTTATACCTAAATCATTTTTAAGTATGAACAATGGGATCGGCAATCGTTTTGGATAAACCATTAAAATTAAATCTGAAACTCATCCTTCTAGTTTCATAACAGAACATTGATTAATCAACCTTGTTTCTACTCAAAATATTTAGGTCTTTAACCTTTTTGGGTTCGATACATAATAGAGTGGGAAAGTAGTTGCCCATTATTAAGACAAAAGTTGTTAGAGTGGATAACCATGTTAGTGTTTATTATGGTGGTTGAAACAAAAATTGTGATCGCTAAAATAGTGATTAGAATTGGCTAGAATGGTGGTTAGAGCTACTGTAAATAAGGAGTAATGGTCGTGAAGCTACTATCTTAGTCGAGAACAACGAGGAAGCTTGGAAATAGGTAGCCGAGTGGCAGTGAAGGGACTACTTGAGATAAAAAAATTGTTATGGGTCTGTTGCCTTAGTGAAAGATGATGATAAATTTTAGAAATATGCAATCGGTGGTCATGAGGGGGTCTGCTAGAGAAAAAGAGTATTGGATTTTTTCAAGGCAAAGACAACAACTATTTTAGCCTTAGAAGGTCTGCTAGTTGTTGTAGATAGTGGTTCTTAGCTCTTTAGTAAAGATTTATGTTCAGCCAAGATGAATCATAATAAAGATAAGGCGATGAAATCGATAACGGTGTTTGTGGAGTTTTGGGTAATGGTGTTGGAGTTCTTTGGAGAAGATAATTTAGGCAACGATGGGTGATGACTTGGTAGTGCTTACTTGTGTTTTGTTTGTTTGTTTTATTTAAGGAAGATGAAGTTGGTGGTGGGCTATAGAAAAGGATGATAAGGGGAATTCTTAGCGAGTGTTAGGCAATGGTAAGGATCGGGCTAGTTTTGGTGTGGTGGTCGGGCACCGCATTGTTGGAGGTTAAAGAAAAAGATGGTGGGTGATGGTCGGTAGTTGTTTTAATGAAGGATGAGGTTGATTTGGATGTAGTGGTTGGGCATGACTTACTAGAGGTTGAAGAAGACTCAAGTGTTGGTAGTGGCTGGTTTGATTCGAAAAGATGATAGAGACGGTGGGCTATGACATGGATAGTGGCTAATGATGGAGGTGGTGGCTTACGATGCATAGTCCGGTTCCATTGGAGAAGAAAAATAACTGTTTTTTTCTCCTATTTAAAAGAGAAGAAAAGTAGTGGGTATAACTTTTTAGTGAAGAATGAGTATTTCTAGAGCAAGTAATTAGGGTTTTAGATAAAGTTCAATTTTAGTCCATGATTCCTTCGCTTTTTTCAATTTCTATCTAAATCTCTTTATTCTTCTTCAATTTTTCCCCTAATTAAGATTATCCAAGCCCTTTCTTTTTAATTTCTTCTAATTGCATCCACTTTTATCTCTAATCAAGTCTTTCGGGTTTTAACCCCTTTCGGTTATACCCCTCAAATTGGATTTTTTATCTTATTTTCCGAAGGCCTTTTAATTGGACCCCTAAATTATTTTTACTCATTTATTGTTTCAACTCTCTTTTCTATTTTTTTTTAATTTTCTTAGGAAATTAAGAAAAATAGGTAGGGTAAAAAATAAATGTTAACGATTGCCTCCTCTTTATAATAATTTCATCACAACGTCATTGGAAGGTCTTTTTTGAATTTGCATACAAACGTTTGTAAGGTAAAAAAAAAAAAAAAAGAATGAAAAGAAAAAAAAGCACTAACAATTAGAAATTAAAAACACACATCATTCTTTTGGTGTGTTGTTCCGAGTGACTCGTGTAATATTCACGACCCAAAATCCTCTTTAAATATAAATATATTATGAATATATTTTAATTAATTAATAAAAAAATATTTTTACTAAATGTCAAGAATAAACTTTAGACTTTAATTAAGAATGAAATAAACAAGCATGATTAAAAGGGAATAGTAATATAATGAGTAAGGCTTGAATTAGAGATTAGTACCCTTAATTAATATGGTCATATTTTAACATAGGGACACGGTTGCAAAACCTAAGGGCATAATTACAAAAATTAAAAACTTAGGTGCTTGATTAAAATGATTAAGTAACTTTAGGGACTTAAATTACTCTTAGAAAAGGTTTAGGATAACAACCAAATTTAGGAAAACTATGAAGTTATGGACTGAAATTGGAAGGGCAATTACAAATATTAAAAGTTTATGGATTAAAGTGTAAACTATTAATCATTTAAGGGACTTATTAATTTATTTTGAGGAAAAAAGTTTCTCTATAGAATTCGGTAAATTTTAGGCAAAAGACGAAGGAGAATGTCGGGAGAAGATATATAAGAAAAAAGAAGAAGAAAAATTTAGAAGCCATTAATAAACAACCTTAAAATTAATCCAAGTGTGACACATATGGGTTTGTTCTAAGAGAAAACCATGGCTATAAAAGGAGAGGAAAAGGATGGAACAGGGGTTAAAAGCCTTAAATGATCAAGTAACCCCAAAGGAGGAACTACACTAACCAAGAAGAAAACCATACAACCACCACTCCAAACCACCTTAGTTAACCTAGAAACACTCTAAGCCAAACTAAAATTAGAATAGAAGATCAAACAAAGAAGGAGAAAAAGTTACTCGTTTGGGCTGAAATTATTAGAAGAAATAGAAGGAAGAAGCCAAAGAGGAAAAGAGGAGAATTGAGCAAACTTCAAGTGACATAAGTGTAATTCTCACTACACCATAATAAAATACTATTTTTGATGTGTAATTGATGTTAAATTAGAGTTTAATTGCTTATGGATTAATGGTTGAATTATTGAGAATTGCCATGTCGTCATTGAATTGGATGATTTTGACAATATTTATGTGTTGTTTGTTGCGCCTAAAAGTGTACTAAAAATTAACAGGAAAATACTCGCAAGTGTATGAGGTAATTATAGTACTAGTGAGTCACCCTAAGGTCATATTCTCAAGGAGATGTTATTGGAATAAAATAATTTAATCCTATTTGCAACATGAACAATAAAGTAAAATCCTAAACACTCTAACTAGATTGCAATTTGGAAATTATAAATTTAAAAAATGCAAGCAATTACCGTAATCGTAACAAACCCGGGAACATAAATCAAGATGAGAAAATTCTTTATAAATTAACTCACCAATTAAATCCTATGTTTAATTAAAATTCCTTAAATAATTATTCTTCTAGAAATTAGTAATCGAATATTAATTTAATTAGCTGAATACCTTCATAACTTTCTTCACTAGGTTACTAGATTTCTCATTGATAACCTAATGTCTATAATCCTTTAGTCTAGTATTGAATTTTATCGATCCACCTTAACTCAATACCACGGATATATAACCGTTGGCCAAACACTCACATATAAATAATTCTAGAATCACAAAGTGAATGGCAAGAATAACTAAATAACCAATTTAATTAAACATATTCAATAAAAGGATCCGTTAATTCTCAAGATAGAATTTTAGCTCATAATTCAAAGACAAACATCCATTGATTTAATCAAAATAAATTCCATGTTTTCACAATCAAGAATTGAAAACAATAAAATCGGAGATTTAAAGAAAATTTGATTTGGCTCTGCTTCAGTCGAGGTTGGTCTCCATTTTGTTTTAAGCACGAGTCCTTGCCAAGCCTCTCTTGTCCGTCTTCAATGGCTATCAAGAGAATATGTGGTCGCTAGAAATTCTAAGGCTTTTGAGAGAATTTTTTAATGGCAATCAAATTCTCTATCATCGAATGGGGTATTCGGCTTCATCGTTTTCCGTATATAGCTCTTAGTTCCGAATTATATTCGCTCAAAATCTCCACAATCTTCACTTTTCGTTTGCTAAAAATCTGCATAATTCACTCCGTAATCTCGAAGAATAGGAAAATCGGTTGTCATGCTTGTGTGAATCAAGCCACTACCATGACTTGATGAAGGTCACGCCATTGACTAAGTTGGCCATGGGCGTGAATTATGCATCATTTCTTACAGTTGACCATGGCTTTGACCATGAGCTTTTTCTTTCCCTTTTAAAGTCATGGTCGTGACTCTTGAGTGACTTTCCTTCATGCTTAATTGCCCTTCTTTGTTTCCAATTTGGTCCTAGACCTAAATAAAACATAATTTAAGTCGGGATCAAAACATATTTATAACCTTAAAAATATACTAAAAATAACGACTTAAAATACTATTAAGATACTATGAAAATAATAAGCAAATAAAATAAAGAGTTACTAGAAACCTAGAATTATTCTATAGAAATTAACATAAAAACTCCGAAAATAATATATAAATAATAGACATAACATTGTTCATGTTGGAATTATGATGAATAGATAATTAATTGGATTAAAGGAGTGTGTTTTGAGGTTTTCCTTATGATTATAACAAGGTGGTTTATTATCTTTAAGACATGAATAAACAAGTGGTTTTAAGACATAATATGTGCAAGGTGTTTGATGATATGCTTAAAAGTTGTTTATGGTATTGAATTGAAAAATTGAAACTTGGCCGAATAGTGAAATTTGATTGCTTGATCTACTTAACTTATTTGATGTTAAAATGATGAAAAACATTGGCCAAGTTTAGAGGTGAAAACCCGAGGAAAAAGAAGAAATGGAAGTTGTCATTGCATTGGCCAAGTTTCAACCAAGAATGAAAGACAAGGGCCAAAAAGGTCAATTTAAAGCTAATGTTAAATTTAACGTTTAGAGGTATAAAATGACATGAAAATTGACTGTAATCATATGAAAAATGGATGGATTATATTACTAAAACATTTGATGTATTGTTTTTGGATTATTTACCAAAAAGGTCAATTTAAAGCTAATATGTGTTTAAGGTATGAATTGTGTTTATTAATTGTTCATGTTTGCATGCATGCTAGTTTTATATGGGACATGTATTTGATGTATTGTTTTTGTTACATGTCCTTTGTTTTTTAAAAAAAGACAAGGATGGGTCCACGATAAATTTTATTAATTAAAAAGAAAAACGTACAAGGAGGGATAATTCAGCCTTACCCATACAAGCCGAGGGACAAGAAAGCCTAAACCCCTAGTCATAAATACGTATTACAAGTGGAAATAAAACTACCTAAACCTCTATGATTATAGAAATAAAATCTATCATGTTTAAGAGCCAATTTAACCCCTAAAGGTAAATTATCAAAAGAAAAAGAAGTAGTTTTACCTTGAGAAGAATGGTCATGATAAGCTAACCTATCCGCAATAATATTTTGCTCTCGATACACATAAGAAAGGGAGTATCCCAAAAGTAAAGAGGAACATTGTCTTACTTGATAAGTATAGCTCCAAGATAAAGAGGAAAACCCTAAAATAGCTTGGACCAATTGCTTTAAGTCGACCTCTATAAAAACTTTATGAAGAGATAGGTGATAGAGTAGACAACCATCACCAAAAGCTAAAAGCTCTACTATAGTATTTGTACTTGGACCATAATTAGTTACAAATGCAGCCGTGAATTGTCCACTTAAGTTATGGATAACACCACCACTAGTGTAACAACCATCTATAGAGGATCCATCCGTATTAAGGTTATAGCAATCATCCAAGGGTGGCGACCAATGGATCCATTTACTCTATCGAAAGGCGGTAATAAGATCGACAAACCTAAAGCTTGAAGTCTTAACATTGAAGAAACACTAGACATAAATTTAGGTTAAAAATCATACACATATCAAAAAGATAATGACGCACATGATCGAATATGGCATCGGCGATCATGGGAATCTCATTGATTCTTGCCTTATGTTTGTGTTTCCATATCTCCAAAAGGGAAAAAAAGATGGTAGCCACCCTACACATACCTATTTGTGTTGGGCTGAGGGACATCCGGACATGAAGAAGGTCGAAAGAAGATCCATATGTACTCTTTATACCAAAGAAAGGTGCTAATCTAGCCCAAACTAAAGAGCTAATTTTTTACCGCATAAAGAGATGATTGATCAACTCCTCTCTAGTTGATACTTAACAACTATAGATGGAGACCATAGGAATGGTGAAATTCTTAATCCTAGAGTCAATTCGATGAGCCCCATGGAACTACTTCCAAATGAAGCCCCATACTTTAGGGGGAATATAAGAACGTCAAACTAATTTAACCCACCAAGCTCATGGATGATTTTGTCTATTGATAATTCCAATAAGATTTGGATTCAAAACAACTTGTCTTAGA